GAGAGGGGTTGAGGTGTCAGAGACAGGCTGTGGCCAGGAGACTTACCAGTCAGCACACAAACCAGCCTGCCTACTTGCAGAGCTTAAAATGTTTCCCAGCCAGCCTGCCCGCTTGCCTGGCTATGTCAATTGCGTAGCTTATTTCAAAATTGGGAGCGTCTACACAGCACTTATTTTGAAATAGAGCACTCTTCCTCCAACTTCGCTTACTGATCACACAATGAGGGTTACAGGAGTCTAAGAAAGAAATCCTCCAGCTTGACAGCATTTCAACATTATTTCACTATATCTGCCTGCTGTGTAGACATGGACTAAGTTATTTTGAAATAAGACTAGTAATTTTGAAATAATGTTGCTATATAGACATGCTCTCAGTCATTATCTAAATCATTGATGAAGATACCTACAGAATCGGTCCCAGAACTGATCCCTGCAGAATCCCACTCATTGTGCCCTTCTGGCATGAATGTGAACCTTTGATAACTACTCTGGGAATGGTTATCAAACCATTTATGTACCCACCTTATGGTAGCTCCATCTAGGTTGTGTTTTCTTACTTGGTTTAACACCGCTAACTGCTAAGATGACCCCAAATACAACATTTGGTTTTTTTTTTAAGCTACCTGCTGCACTAAATCTCTTCAGGATATATCTCTCCCTTGTCTAGATTGGACAACAGTGAAAAGTAAGAAGGACAAACATTTTAACGAGAGTCCAGATTCCTATTATAACTGTGAGAGAAACAAGACAAGAAAGTACACAGAAAGCATTACTTAGAAGGGCGTCAAACTTAACACTTCTTGGCCACCTACTTCTGGAGAAATTTTAAAAAATTGTCCTACTTTAGAGTACAGGCAGTCCCTGAGTTACGCGGATCCGACTTACGTTGGATCTGCAGTTACGAACGGAGCCCGTCTCCCTGGTCTCCAGCAGACCAGGGAGAGGGGGAGCAAAGCAGAGCAAAGCCGCAGAGCCCGAGGGCAGCCGGACAGCCACGGCGCGTCTGGGCTGTCCCGCTGCCCCCATGCTCCGCAGCTTTGCTCCGGACGCCTGTGGTACAGCAGCTGGGGTGCTGCCGGTTGGTCCCGTAGCGCCACTCTGGGCACCACTGGACCAACCCAGCAGCACCCCAGCTGCTCTGCCCCAGGTGTCCCCAAGTCAGCTGCTGCTGAAACTGACCAGTGTC